ATATTAGAGAATTTTAATTCCTTCGGTTTCAGTTATCCATTTCATCTTTCCTCCAATCGTTGAGAAGGCAATATGATCGCACCTACTATAGAGCCACCGATGGAACATGCCAATGGCACTATCATAACGTATGATAAGTCACTAATACCAACCACCACCACCACCTCCTCCTCCTCGAATTAAGTCCAAACGAAATTCATTATTAGTCTATTGATTGCGATACACGGTAGTGTCAAACATTCGAATTTGATTTTTAACTTCACTATGCAGTGTTCAACAGTTTGATCTGTGTCACTAAACCAATGGTATCTGCATATTACTCACACCATGAGGTCTCACTGTCTCCAGTACCTCCTTTCGTTAATGACCCAATTGGAGATTGGTGATATTGATTCTTGAGACCAATGGTGAGTATTTATGGACATCTTCGTAACTTCCAGTTTCGTAGACACGTTAATACTCCTCTGATGGTGGAAGAAGCCATACGTCCGAATTGGCTGATTTGAACGAGTAGTCGGTGCTATTGTGAAATAGTAAAACTTCTCCTTATCAACGAATGGCCAACTTCCCATTCAAGTATGCTCTTTGTTGATTGAATTACCCTTCCATCAGGTCAACAACCTCCTTCTCACTAATTGATTCTGGACTTAAAATCCAACTCGCAGTACTACTCTCATCAGGATAAAGGCATTTACATGGTGATATAACCCACTAAATTATCAACCTCTAATTACTCTTACTGAGCAGTACTTAATAAGTTATTGATGTGCATCGAGTGAGTTGTTGGAATAACGAAACTGTGGTCTGATAATATCAGCAAATGAACATTGAAAAGAACTCGATGTTGCGCCGCTTATGCGTGTTGATTAAAGCCGTATCGCAATATCATGATCGATTCTTTTCGAGTCATAAATTAATGCCGAAATCATCGTCCTCCTTAGCAAACAAATACTCATCACAACACTATTTCCGAATGTTTGAGCTACAATCTCGCCACTCCTGTCATACAAATGTTGCCAGAATTAATTGGCGCCTACACTTTGGGCGCAGACCGACTTAGTTAACATACCAATTTGATTTCATTGATATTCATTTATTTGTTTATGTCAAATCTCTTGCTTTATGATACTTAGCATTAGTCCTGATTTTTATTAATATTAATATTGTTATTGTAACTGCTATTATTATTATTATTATTATGTTATTATTATGCCCCAGTTAGTGAGAGAGTATTTTCAGTGGTGCCCTATGGTTTGACCTCGGGTCAATGTCCTGTTTGGGGACTAATGCAGGAGAGTGAATCGGGCAGCATCTCTAATTGTAGACCGAATTTGGAATGTTGTACATTGAAGTGGTGTTTACTTTAAGGGTCAACACGAAGGACAACACGAATGAAAGCTTGAATTGGGATTTAATAAACGATGAATTAGTAGAAATTTGTGTGATAATCAACCATGCCTCCAAGCCTTCAGATACAAATCTATTTCCAATTTCCATTAATACCATCTTGGGCCTAGAATAGCTGAGCAGTGGGTATGGGTGGATGTATGTGAGGAGAAATGAGGATATGAAGAAGTATAGATTTAGATGTTCCAATCAACATACCAAGATGGGGGCAAGAGTGTGATTTCCTTCTATATAAACAGTAAGATATCTGCGTAACCGGATTTGGGAAAGGCCTCATTAGTGTAGTCGATGATGACGATTTTGTTGGAGAATAATGTCCGTGACAATGGTTGGAACTGTTGAAGTGAGTGCGACCCAACTCTGAATTGTCCGATGCCTTGTGAGTGAGTAGACCTGAAATTGAGCGTATCAAATGAATTGTTGGCATCACTACTCCCTTCATCTCTATTTCGAGTACTTTTAAAGAGCTGCAACTTATTACTCAATAGAGCCATCATCAGAAAGGTATTCTGGTCATGCCAATTTCAATTGATCTACTTTGAGTAGGGTGTAATGGCTTGGTCTTGGGACATATTCGTGAACATGAATATAAGCAAGCCATTGTTCTTGCTATCAAAATGAGAGCCACTGCACACTCTAAATATTGCGTTTCCATTGGAGTGTCAGTTAAGATGTTGTTGAATGATTGTGCAATCAATCCAAAATAAGCGAAATTTCCTCTCCCATAATACTTGAGACCACTTTGGTTTATACGAGCATCGACGCGTATTTGCCTAGCACAAAGGCGAAGGGCAGTGCAAGCACGAGTTCCTCAGTGTCGGAGTCATCGGTGAACAATAATCTGTGACGATATTTGTTCCAAGGCATTTCTATGGTATATGTGGAAAGTGGAAATATGCTCGACACTGACAAATTAGTTAGTAATGACAGAATTCAGTACAAATAGGGTGAAAGCGGATTTCGGAGTGGTTGTTACCTCCAGTCTCTGCCATGTTGAATCTCTAAGCTGCGCAATAGCATAAACGACGGTTTACTTTCCCAACATCTCCAATATAATAATAATAACAAATACAACAACAAAATTAACAAAATTAATTTTTGATATCGAGGGAATGAGAGAGTCAAATGATGTCATGTACAAGGTATGAGAAATAAGATGATACATCTTAGAGTTAAAAGAGACGTTGATGTCTTGTTTGGACTGGTGTTTTACTTTTCTACTCTCTTTGCCCTTTCCTCTACCGCTTCATATTTCTCGCACAGCCTTCCTGCAGGTAGTACTTCCGTGTTTTCTATTGCCTCTTTTCCTTCCACTTTTTCCTCTACCTCCATAGCTCAGACTTTTCCAAACCGCTTAAGTCCTTTGAACTGCAATTAGCTATGCGTGGTTGCACGGGGCAATTATCATCAATACCAACCGTCAATTTAGGCAGTTCACTCGTTCATGCTGCTCCATTGGTTCCATTAATATTGAAATCTGCACAGTGAATACAGGGCAAATATTGCAATCATTCAGATCTAATGTGCTAATATTTACTATCGATAAGCAGAAGGCGTTAAGGATTTTTTCCTACTGTACAAATCGCATATATTTTAAATAGAAATCATGGTGTAGTGAGGCAACCCCAAAACACAGACACAACAACTCCATCTTATCTACCTGGTGTCTCGCCAAACACAAGAGGGCATAGTGCAAACTGCCAACAAATGACGACGAACTAAATTAATCCAACTACCTAAACCAACAAAGAAACTTCACGTCTGCTCTAAGGTTTAATGCTCACTACCTATATCTCACAAATAACCCTCAACTAGCGTCTGTAGTTATCTGGTCAACTGGGAATGTCGATATCCTGAATGGAAGTCTCTCCCTGGTCCGCTCGAATGGAGGGTAAGCATAATTCATGAAGAAATAAATGTTCACTATTTAAATCTTCCAGCTTTCTCTTCATTTCATCAATCTTCCATGAGGACGACTGGTTGACAAGAGTGGCGTATTTTTTGTGCATTAGGTAACCAAAAGACCATGATGTGGGCTATAGCCTTCACTGTCTCCAGCAGATTGACAGGACCTAATTATGTCGGGAAATTCCAAACAGACTCTACAGCTGAATCAAATTGCTCCAGAGAACACAGCTTCACCAACTAAATCTTTAGCTGTCCCACCTTGGCTATACTAAAACTACAAACAATCGATTATCTTATGAACTAAGACTGATTCATGGCTTGAAGCTGCCCTCTGCGTCTTATTGATCGTCTTCTTTTTTAGTAAGTCTTCACATTAGTCGCCAAACGCGTTTGAGACCATTTTGCTACTGCTCAACCGGTCAGAGTGAAAGCGTCTTCAATAGTCTCCAACGACAAATCTCGGTTGATTGAACTTTTTGACCTTTTGACAATTTGCAATTTGTATTGGCTGCGCTATCTAATAAACATTACAATATGCCAAATAGGGTAATTCCACGAAGGATTGTAATTTGGATTTTCAATGTGATTTATGGCGCTTCACAAACATTGACTCGCTCCGAAACCAGCTTTTGAATTCCTTCTCGCTTCAACTCCATCCTGTTCACAACAAAATTGTCCACTTTACTTGCCGAGATCATTTTTGGGAAACTTTAATGCCAAGTAGTAGACTCATTTTGGGCGCCTGTTAGAAATGGGAATCGAACCAAACTTTATTGAAATATCACTGAGGTGGGGTGGGGTTGACAGAATATTCGCCAATTAGATGCAGATGAAGACCAAGTGATTGAGTTTACAACGCTTTCATTTGTATTTACTCAACTTCAAGCGATTTCTACTCAGCATTGGCTCTAGTTCTCTATTTAATTTGCAAATGTTGATTTCTTTATTTGCTGAAATTCGGTGCTATTTACTTAAACTGTACTGTACCAATCCAAGCCGCTAGACGTACAAATCGAATCTCTTATTTCAGTTCAATTAGAGATCTAGGTGAGATACTTCTGAACCGAAATCTCTCCTAAAGCACTTACTACCAAACAATACCCAACTCGCCAACTTGTCAACGTGCAATTCACATGATGCCAGCCAAGTTAAACAACACTTCACGAAAGCAGAGCCACATTCACAACTAACCACAATTTCTGCATTTAGTAGGAAATATTGCTAATCCCATTTCAAAAACTCCTTACACTAGTTCTGTCTAATTGTCCACCAGAGGTAGTCAAACGTATTTATTTCAATAATCAAGCTTGCAAACAGACTTCTAAGCTCTCAACTAAATGTTGAAACTATTCTGTGAGTAGAAATCTTCACTGAGTATGGCTACAGCATCAGCTCATTTCCAACTCACAAATTTCGGGATGGAGCAGTGTTTCACACCAATTGGTCCTACTAATGGATGGCAGTAGTGAAAAAGAAAGATTTTGTAATGGATCTACCCAAACTGCCTTTTCGTGTTCTACTACTTTGCTTACAAAAAAGAGTTAAAAAATGCGCCAAAATGTGGCTTTCAAATTTCGTTGAAGTTGAAGCACGTATTAGCAGCATACGCATGAATTATCGATTTTTAAGCAATTGAAGCATTTTTCTGTAGTTTCGTTGAAAAGTTTGTGACCGAATATCGTAAAATGCATGCTCCAAATCCTACGACTACTGATGTTAATACTACCACCACCGACAACAGCATCAACACCAACACCACAGCTGCCTCTGTTGATATTGCTCAAGGTGATGCTGCGGCTATTGAGGGTAGAGGGGGAGTGAAAGCAGTGAAGAAGGTGGTGCGCTTCAACGATGTGGTTGAAGTCTTCCACTTCTAGAAGTTTTCCACTTCCAAGTGCTTGATGTTGATCCAGGGCAAATACGCTGATTTACTTGGAGACGCTAACGACAGACGCATCTGTCGAGCCGCTCGACTCACCGGCTGCACAACACGTCTCAACACCTCCATAGCAAGACGTAACAAGCATGGTGAACTTTGCTTTGTGGTGACTGTGCAAGGCAGAAGGGACTCTGATGTGGAGAAATTCAAGAGACTAATACGCGACAAGTTTCCCGACATCCTCTTCACTCGTGCTTGAGAGTGTGCCCACAGCATGTCAGCAACTCCAATCTCCTGTACATAAAACCGATTACCAATTCTCTACTGATTCTACCTCTTTTTCTTCTTCTCTATTATTACTGCACCAAATACAGCAGCTCGCGAAGGAAGAGCGGAAGTGCAAGTTGAACTTAGTTGACGTCAACAACCCATTCATCCAACCACAATCTGTGAATGCGAATCCTCAGATGAAACAAGCAACAAATGAATGGTAAACACTCCTCAATTCTTGTACTCTCTCCCATGAGTGCAGAGGCGCCGAGGGGAATTGGCAAACTGCAAGTGTTTCAGCTCTTCTGAAGGCCGACAAGGCAGAGTGAGAGAAGGAGAGTGTGTGTGAGAGGGAGAGAGAGAGAGTGAGAGAGATGGAGACGACGTGAGATGGAGAGTGATATTCGAAACACGAAATATTGAGTTGAATCTGCTCTGTCACTGCGCTTCATGCTGTTGCGAAACTTGCACTGTTGCTGCTACCAATGCTGCCACCTCTTTCAACCTCAAATCTCAATTGTCTAATTTCAATATTTCCCCCTCCCCCTTGTCTGATATATTTATGAATAATACCAATCCTAGTCTATCTGCCTCCTTTTCCTCTTAGTCCTCCCCCTCGGAATCCCACCCCTATAACTTAATTCACTTTGCATTTGGAGTGGAGTTGGTGTGTTTAGCTTAAGGTGGGCGTTTTCGATAATCTATAAAGAAAATAGTTACAAGTTTTAAGGTGTTTGGTGGAAGCGAGAAATTCACATTTGAAAATTTGTTGAGGATGCCTATTTTGATGCTTTAAGGCAAGAGAAAGCGTATTGATGTCGGGTTGAGTTGGCGTGGGAATCAGATTAAGTCAGCCAGTCAGTCACTCAGGCAGTCAAGACGAAGAGGTTTCAGAGGTGTCATTTACTGACCCGGTGTGAGAGGGGAAAGTAAGACACTTTCGTGGCTACCCCCTTTCATCTACACATCCAGAACCTGAAAGGCAAGTTTGTGTTGAGTTCTTGAGCGAACCAGTAGTGCGTTGATGCCAGCTAAAGTACTGTTAAGTGCAAGACGGAATTAAGAGTGCTTGATTGTTTCGAGCACATGAAGAATGGGATTTTGACAAAAAATCGAATATCTTACGAAAAAGTGTACTTTGTCTATTTAATCATTGGAAGAAAACAACTAGTAAATGCTCGTTATTGCCCAAGCTTTTATAACATAAAAATATTAAACTTGGAAGATCAAGAAAAATTAAATAGATGTTCATTAATTTCGACTTACTTTTGGTTATAAATATGAAATGATCAATAGCACCTGCTTACTTCAAGATAAGTATAATGAATTTTATACTTAAATTAATTGATTCCTCGGTTAGATGCAAAGTGTTGGCGATAGCAAAATGAAATTTTGAAGTTTGCAATTTTCAAAGTACTTGTGAGGAACAAAATATATAGTTTTACATAGACAGTAAAATAAAGACAATGTTTTATTATTTTTGAATAGAAGTTCAATCATTTGACATCACGTAAAAAGATCGTAGATTAACAAATCATTGGTATGAATGTTACCTAAAATTTATCTTAAATGTTAATTAAAATGTTGAAAAAAAATTCATTATTGGTCTTGAATGCTATAATTTTATTATCTTTATCTATTTTTCCAAATAATTCAAGTTTTAAAATGTAGCGGTATGAGTTATATAAACATCTGGCAAATCTAAACAATATTGAATCGTTTTAGATTTTATTTAAAATACTAATAAGCTTTAATACTAAAAACATTCTTCATTTTGATTCGATTTTCTTTTTAAAAGCTAACCTTGCAATGCCCTCACGCTGTTTGACTTGTTGTGTGTTTGCCCGCCGCCATTAATTAGTTTTCTTAATATAATGACTGCGAGATATGATAGAGCTATTACCGTTTTTTCTCCCGATGGTCACTTGTTCCAAGTTGAATATGCTCAAGAGGCCGTCAAGAAGGGGTCTACTGCCGTCGGCGTAAAAGGAAAAAATTGCGTCGTTCTCTGTGTCGAACGGAAAGCAACTACGAAACTTCAAAATGACAGAACTGTCCATAAAATATCTCTTTTGGATGAGCATATATCGGTTGCTTTCGCTGGTTTAACTGCCGATGCTAGAATACTTATTGATAGAATGCGAATTGAATGCAAAAGCTATCGTCTGACTGTAGAAGACCCTGTGACAGTTGAATATGTAGCTCGACATATGGCTCAGTTAAAGCAGAAATACACTCAGAGCAATGGCCGTAGACCTTTTGGAGTATCTACTCTTTTATGTGGTGTTAATCAGGATGGCACTGCGCACCTTTATCAGACCGATCCATCTGGTACCCATTTTGAATGGCTGGTAAGAATTCATTTGAAAATTACTAATTAGAAGGCAAATGCCATTGGTAAAAATTCGAAAGCTGCCCGCGAATTTTTGGAAAAGAATTACTCTGAAGAGGTAGTTGAGACGGAGGAAGGAACTATCAAGTTAGCAGTCAAGGCACTTTTCGAAGTTGTGCAGACTGGTGCGAAACACATGGAATTAGGAGTTATGAGACGTAGAGAAGGTGCGAAGCCTGGAGAATCTTTTGCTGAATGGAAGGTGAGATATGTTTTTAGTCTGTTATTTTACTTTTGTTTAAAGTATATTTTATATCTGGTACTAATATTTGTTTTTCTATCACAACCTCCTCTCCCAAATGGATATATTTTAGTCTGTTTGGTTGTTTAAATCTCAATTTGGGTAATTATTTTCTTAGAAAGTTTGTTTTTTAGTTGTTTTACATTGAGATCGGGTTGCTTTCTACTTCTTCATGTATCTGTCTGCTCTATTTGTTTGTTACATTTTTTAAAGTTTTCTTCACTATTCTTGAAACGTTTCATTAGCTCATTGTAGTCCCGACTAAATCTATTAATATGCTTACTCAGTGTTTTTCTTATTAATTGATATCATGATATTTCATTTCAAACAGATCGTACATAAATCGGAAAATATAAGTCTATTAATGGACCGTCATCTGTAAAGTAGTAAAGTCATTGAGGACTTTGGTCTAATCATAATTTTACAATTGTGGAGCCACATATCTTTTGAGTTTGCATTTTTTGGTATTGCGTGAAATCAGGAAGTATAGAATGAGTTGCAATTTACTATTTTTTAAATTTATTTACTGAAGCTCAGGATGTCATGGAAT